AGAGGAATTTTTCTCGAAAAATTTCCATTAAGTTTTTTTCTTCAATTTTCTTCTCAAATTGTTTTGTTTTTTATTGAACTCATTCAATGCGACACGCGATGATTGGGAAAATATTAAAAATCCATGTTTTTTGGCACACTTGTGACAGTAAAAAAATAGAATAACAATGTATGTGAGTAATATTAACGAAGAAAAAAAGAACAGACTTTTAAAAAGTTTTCTATGGTGTTTTTTTTTTAAATGTTTTATATCATCCTTTTTGGTAGTTAGGATTTTGATTTATAATTTAATTGGAACACAGTCAAAGCATTACAAGTTTACAGCCTTCTATTTTTTTAATTTTTTAAAAATTTTTATTAAATTATTTTATATTTACAAGTTTTCTATGAGATGAAACAAAAAAACTGAATTTTTTTAATCCAGTTTTCAGTGTTGGGAAAATTTTTTTATTTTTCTTCTTCTTCTTTCTGTTTTAATTAATTTAAAGATTGAGTAATAAATTCTAATTTTAATAATATCGGGAAAAGAGAAAAAATAAAAATAAAAATTGAGTGAATATTCTTGGGAGATATACACGTTTGCGTATATCTGTAACAAGTTTTTCCATACACTTTCTCCTTTTGCTACAGGCAAAATCTGTCGCTTGAAAACCGCATTCTCTCGTTGCGTAAAATTCCAAAAGAGGGAAAAAAATAAAGTATTTACAGAAACGGTTTTTCAGTGATGAGACTTTATTTTTTTTCCCCTTTGACGATTTCTTTTTCTAATTCTAATTAAATTAATTGTACATAATTTTCATAATTATAAATTGTTCTAATTTTCAAAAGCTCGATTTAAATCACTTTCAAAATAAATAAATATTTATTTATAAATATATTAATATATGATAATCCCAAGCCCGTGATCGTTGTTTGTAACATTTTTTGTTTTTAAAATAAGTGTCTAAGTTGGAAAAGTACTGAAAAATTTTATTTTCAAAAAGTCCTAATTTTTTTGTTTTATTATAAAAATCGTAAAGTATTTTTAATGCACTGGAAAAAAAATTATTTTGTTCAAAAAATCGATTACTTTTCTAGAACCAAATAATTATTTAAATCGAATAATTATTTATTTCGAATAACAATTTAATTTGAATAATTATTTTATTTAAATAATTATTTTATTTAAATAATTATTTAATCGGTTTTTTTAAATTAAAGAAAATTATTTTTTAATTAGTTATGAGTTTCTGGAGAAAAAGTGTGAATACTAAAAATTGAAATTTGTTGCAGTAATTTTATTTTTTTTCATAAATTAATCATAAATTTTCCATTCTTTCTTGATTTTCAAAATAATATTTTTTTCTTGATTTTTGTAAAAGACAACAAATTGTAGTTTTGTATTTAAATCATTAATTTTAAATTTAATAATGTAATTTATTTGAATTTGATAATTTAAATTCAATAATTATTTTTAACTTGACAATTTAATTTATTTAAATTTAAAAATTTAACTTACTTGAGTTTGATAATTTAAATTACTTTTAATTTGACAATTAAATTTATTTGAATTTGAAATTAAAAATATTTATTTTGTAATGTAATAATTACTTTTTAATAAAAAATTACTTTAGTTTGATAATTTAAATTACCTTTAATTAGATAATTTAATTTATTTAAATTTGACAATTTCATCTATTTAATTTTGACAATTTATTTGATTTAAATTTGACATTTTAATTTATTTACATTCGACAATTTAATTTACAATTTGAATTTGATAATTTAAATTACTTTTCATTGGAGAATTCAATTTACTGGAATTTGACAATTGAATTTTAAAATTGATAAAAAATTCTAATAAATTCCAGTCAAAAATTTCAAATTCACAATTTGAGTTCGATAATTTATAATTATAGTTAATTATAATTGGAATTAATTTAATAAATTGTATAATAATCCAAATTAAAATTACCTAAAATTAATTTTAAAAAAATATTTAAAATAACTAAAAAATAAATTTCTGTGATTCTCAATTTTTCTTTTAGAGTCACACATTCTCCTTTAGATTAAAAAATTTTATCAGGACATTTTTTCACGTTTATTATTTAATATTATGAATAATTACCTTAAATAATTATATCAATGTACTTTCCATCGTTATTCCACTTTTTTTTCGTTATTTTTTATATATTATAAATATCATCTTGGGAAATTTAATACCTACAATGACGACTAGAGAAGGTTTCGATGGGATCTCGCACTGCCTCCATATATATAAATTACATGAAACAGTAGAAAAATATTTCACAAAATCAGGGGAACTTGTCTGTAAATAAAAATTGATAATCTTGTTATACTAGATTATTAAAAATTTGAGAATAATAGCAATAATCGAAAAAAAATGTGTGTTCCCACTGATAGTCGCAAAAGATTATTATAGCTTATAACATGTACAGAATTGTTTTTCTTCAATCATACACACAATTACGTTTACAAAAAAAAAATTATTTTGCAATTGTTTTTTTGTATTTTTTTAATATATTATTGTATATAAATTAAAAATTATTCACCCGATGAATTGGAAAAACGTATTCAAAAAACGTTTGCAAGTTAGGGAGAAGATTTTTCATATTTTTTTTCCTAAGAAGCCTTTTTTTTCACTGCTGATATCCATTAGTTTGAGTGTGTGTTTCTTGACTATCTATACTATATCCAGTGATGCTGTCCGGACTTTGCAGGGATGCTGCATAAAGCGGGTTGACTGGCGTTGCACTCGTGTTGAATTGGGTCGAATCATAAACACTATTATTCTGCAAAATAAAAATAATTTCCCTTTTCTCAAATTATTTCCTCGCGACCCTCTTACATTGTCATAATTAATATTTTAATAATAATTAAATTATAAAGAAAAATCGGAAAAAAATGTTTCACCTGCAACTGCGATAATTTTTCTCTAGAATAACAAAAGTTTTAATAATTTCGCTGTTCTAGAGAAACTTATTTCTGTTCCAATTGAAACATTTTTTTCCTATAAAATAAAAAGAATAAAAAATAAATAAAAATATCAAATAAAAAATAAATAAAAGTAAATAAAAAATAAATAAACAGAACAAAAAGAAATAATTAAAAAATAAACAAAAACATTAAGTTGAATTAGGTACAATTAAATTGTAAATAGAATAAAATTTCCTTATGAAATATTTCAATCGAAATAAAATTTAATGATTAAATTATTTTCCCACCCCTTTGAAAAGATAAAGCCAGCCTCTATATAGTTAACAAAAATTTTCCAATATCCAGCGTTACCTTTTGATATAGAAATTGTCTATTATAGTTTATAATTACATTATTAGAAAATTTCGAAAGCCAATAAACAAAATTACTTTGCATGCCATAAAAAAAGCTTTTAAAAAGAGAAAAAAATTGCCGATTATTTTTTTTCTTTCAAGTTAATAAAGCAAAAAAATCAAGTTAGTTGTGAATTTTTAAAGAAACAGGTTCTTTTTCTTTTTTTTTTGTTTGTTTTTGTGAATGTGCAATAAATAAAAAACAAAGTGCTTTGACAGTATCAGTACATTTAATGAAAAATAGCTGCTAGGCGTGCTGATTATATATAAATATATACTGACAAAAGAAAAAAGAAGCATGTAAGCCTATTTTTGTTTTTCTATACAAATAATAAATAAATAAATCACAAATACATTTTCTTAAATTAATATTGTAATAATAATTTTCAACTTTTAATAAATTCTGGAAGTTCCTTTTTGTGTGTATTTTTCAAAATTCATATTTCATCTTTGGAATCAATTTAGAAAAAAAATTTGATCACAATTTGTATAAATATAGAAATTTTTTTTTTTTGTTAAAAATGTCTTTTAAAAAAAATAAATCATATTTTAAAGCAACAGGCAAATATTTGAGTTTTGAAAAAATTGGGTTTTTTAAAGTATTTTTAATATTTGAAATAAAATTTCTTTCAGTATTAATAATGCAAGAATATATTTCTTTGTTAATAAAAGAAATAATAATTTGAATTGTTAATAAAATAATGATTTTTATCACCAATAAAAGAACTTTTATTACTTATAAAATAATATTTTTTATCGCTAATAACATGATTTTTATTAATAGTAAAAATTATTATTTTATGAATAATAAAAATTGTTATTTCATTATAAAAACTGAAAAATATCATTTCATTATTAATAATGACATTAAAAATTTACATTATTAACCAAATAACGATTTGCATTATTAGTATTAATAAAAATAATTATTTTACTAGTGATAACAATTATTATTTTATTAGCAATAAAAGTTATTGTTTATCAGTATCTAATAAAAATCATTATTTTATTAATAACACAAATTATTATTGAATTTTAAATTTTAATACAAATTGTTATTCTACTATTAATAAACAAATATTTTTCATTTATTATAATGAAATGACAATTTGTATTAATAATAAAAATCATTATTAATTTATTTTATTGTATATTATGTATTATTATAAATAAAAATCACTATTATATTAGTGATAAAAATTATTATTTTATTAATAATAAAAATTGGTTTATCAGTGATAAAAATCATTATTTTATTAGTAATACGAATTACTATTTTATTAATACAAATTTTTATTTAATTATTAATAATAAACAATTTTTCATTATTTGTAATGAAATGACAATTTGTATGATTAATAAAAATAACTTGTTTAATAATGAAATAGCAGTTTAATAATTTTTATTATTAATAAATTAGTAATTTTTATTACTAACAAAACAATGATTTTAATTTCTAATAAAACTACAATTTTTATTTTTAATAAAATAAGAATTTCTATTACTAAGAAAATAATGATTTTAATTAATAATGAAGCAATTTTTGTTTCTAATATTTAAATACTTAAAAAATACTTTGACAAAATTCAAGTAATATTTTCTGTATGTGTAACAAATAATAACTAATAAACAAAAAATAAACTTAGCAAATAACGAAAATTAATTAACAGCCAGCTTTCATTAGCTCTCTTAATCTAGTTCTGAATTTTGATAAAATACGAAAAGCTAGTTCAGTTTCCTGTGGTCGAACTTTTCAAAAAATGGAAGAAAAAATTTGCGAGAAGCTTTTTTAGATATCTTTGGTTACAGAATCATTTGTTCGTTTCATCTCGTGTGATTCACCACTCAAGAGACTTTGCAAACTACTCTCGAGTGGTGACGATGATTTTTCATTCGCTTTTTTCATCAATTTTTCACTGTTATTACTATCGTCATTGACAATTGATTTTGATCTTTTTATCTTGACACGCAATGATTCCGAGTCAAGACTGCTTTTACTTGATTCTGATAGAAATTGTGTGACACTTTCCGATTTTTTTGGACGATATTGAAAATGACTCTGTGATGTTGCTGTTGTTGCTTGTACAAAATCACCGTGTCCAATTAAGGAAACTGAACGAGTTTTCCAACTCGGTGCTTCTAAATGTGAAGGAATTTTTTGTGTTCCACTGAAATTATTGCCTGAACTTGTCAATGTATATTTGCCAAGATCCGGTGTACTTTGTTGGGCGATTAGACGTTTTGAGGAACGTTTACCACTCGGCGATGTTCCATAGAGTTTTATTTGTGAACTATAGCGACTTGTATTTGGATCAGCACGACGGGATGTTAATGAATATAGGGAGCTTGTTTGCTTTACTTTTGGGGAATTTTTTGTAATTTGGGATTCGTGAAAGGGCATGTGAAATGAAGGAACATGGACCTGATAAATGTAGTCGCTGTCAGTCTTCAACGACGAGAAACTTTGTTGATGTGGCAGCGAAACTGTGTCCTCCTCCATCGCGTCGTCTACTTGCGCTTTGTACGAGAACATAAGTGATGGCTGCGATATTCTGTTTAGGGAAAAAATGGAAATAATTTTACAAAGTTATTCTTCCTTTTTTTTAATAACAAATTTTTTCAAGAGAAAAGTTAAGTTAAGTTTAATTAAGTTTTGATTAATTATCTGTTATAATTAATTTTAGTTTCTGTTGATTAATTTATCAGGGTTGCCACAAATAATTAATTTTATTTTTCCCTGATTTCCAGACAAAATTTTTACTTTTTCCCTGACCCTAAAGAATATTCTGATTCACTCTAAAAATTATTAGATAATCAAAAAAAATATTCTTAATACATTTATTTGCAAATTTCTTTAATTGTAAAATTATTCCAAAACATCAATAACTTCTTTTCTAAATAAATATTTAATCATTATTATTTTTCCGTAGGAATTAAAATTCTTCAAAACATTTAAATTCAAACCTTTTTGAAATTCAACAACTTGTAATAATTTAAATTACCATACAATTTTTTTTTTTAAAGTTAATTATTTACAAAAATTCTAATCAAATCCTTCGCAAGAATTCAATTATTTTCATAAATAATAAATCGATTATTCGGTAATTCAATTTTTAAATCAATTTTTATTAGAAGATTCTAGAAGAATTCAATTATTTAAATTAAAAATTAAATAATTTATTAAATAATTGAATGTTTGTTAAAATTGAATTCTCATGAAGAATTTTATCAACAAATTTTTAAATAATTAAATTCCTTTGGCAAATTTTAATAAAATTTTTAAGAATAATTACATTTTTCGAAGAATTTGATTAAAATTGTATCAAAATAATTAAAATCCTGCGATGAGTTTTATTATTTATGAAAATAATTGAAATTTTCCAAAGAATTTTATTAAAATTTTTCTAAAATAATTGAATTTTGGAGAAGAATATTATTATTTATAAAGATACATGAAATTTGGGCAAGAATTTTTAAAAATTTTTTAACATAATTGAATTTTATTCAAATTTATAAAAATTTTATAAAATTTTGTATTTTAAATAATTGAATTTCTGTAAAAATTGTATTACTTATAAAAATAATTGAATTATTTCGATGAAATTTATTAAAAATTTTGTCAATAATTCAATTCCTGTGGCAACCCTGTTTATTTACTTCAATTTGATATTTCTAAATTTTTATTTACACTTTGTATATTTTTATTTTCTCTTTCTCTACTTTTATTTAAATACCATTTTTCTATTTTTTTTACCCTTCCTCAATTATTAAAAATAGAGAACAAACAAAAAGAAAACTCTATTTTTATTTACTTTTTACCCTATTTTTACTCTTTATCTATTTTTGTTTACTCTTTCTTTACATTTAGATTTTTTTATTCTTTCCCCATTTTCGTTTTTTATTTCTTATTTATTTTTATTGCAAAATTAATAGCTTTTGTTGAACAAGAAAATAATTTCGCAAAACTTACCCTAAAAATTCGGATAAAAATGTGTGATAAACTAGAGGCGTGAAGACGGTTAAATAGATGATCGCAGTGACGTCCACCACGCAGAGGCCGACGAGATTTTGAGTATAATTTAAAAGTCCTGCTCCTATTGACTGCACCAGGTTCAAAAAAGCCAATATCCCAACGTAAACGTAAAAACTTCTTTTATCTGAAAAAAAATTGGACAATTTTTACAAAATTCTTTTTTTCTTTCTGAATGGAAATTTAAATTTTTTACTTACTTGGTAAGGCTAATCGTTCTCGCAGTCGCGTCAACGGCAGTATTAGCATGAACATGTATATCTACAAAGCAATAATTATTTTTATTATTCTTCCTTTTATTTATAAATGTTTGTTTATTTATTCTTATTTTACTCTATTTTACTGTTTTATTTTACTATTTTAAATTATTTGTTTTTACTATTTTGTTCTAACATTTTATTTTTTGTTATTTTTATATTTTATTTCATTATTTGATTTTGCTATTTTACTGAGTTATTTTACTTTATTAATTTATTTCACTATTTTGTTCTATTATTTTATTTTGTTATTTTATTTTGTTATCTTAGTTTATTATTTTATTTTACTATTTTGTTTTATTATTTTATTTTGTTATTTTATTAAGCTGTACTTTATTTCTTTATTTGATTTTACTATTTTTTTTATTATAATATGAGTATTACTTTATTTAGTTAATTTTATCTATCATAAAGTTTTCAACGTTCTTGAACAATGATTGAAAATAAAAAATATTTTTCTTTGTAAATTTTAATAAACTTTTATCTGAAAAATTTTTCCAACATTACGTCAGTGAATTTTACAACGTTTATGATAAACGATTGTAGGAGAAAAATATTTTTCACTCGGAAAGGAATAAAGTTTATGATTTATCAATTTTTTTCTCTTTTAAATTATTGATCCAAAAACTATTTACTATGTAAAAATTAATTAGTAAAATTTTTTCCATATTTAAATTTCTATTTAGTAGTAAATATTGATCCTCGCTTTTTATTTATTCAAATTTTCTAATTGCAAATTTTTTTATTATTTAAACATTTCAAATTTGTAAACAATAATTTTTTTTTTTGTTTTTTTTTGTGAAAAATATAATAATATTTTTAACCGTCCATCATCAGTGGCGTAAATTTCAACTATAAATTGCAAATAAAAGGAAAAATGTAAATTCTTATTATACTTGCCGTTGTAAAGACGAGACTGCTGATAAACCAGAACATCATTCCACCATGACCGAAAACGAACAGTTCTTTACTATTTATATAAAACATATCGTCTGGTAGAACTAATTCCAAAGTACCCTGAGTTATCGTGTAAGCTAGAGCTATAAAGGACGTGGCCAACAGTACTCTGCGAATACTCGAGCGACTATCTAAATGTCCTGCAGCAAACAAAATATTTGATTAGAATTTTTTCATTTTTCACGAATTCACAATTTTAATTTTGAGTACGATATTTTAATTTTGAAATTAATTGATATCTTAAATTATTTAGGAAAATACTTACCGAAAAATAAGCCAAAAATAACGACACTCATTTCGGTGGACAATAGAAAAAATCTCACAGTAACCCATAGTACTTTATCGGCTTTACCACCGACAGTCGCTGCTGCATTAACAGTCATTGAAACAACGCATCGAATTACCGAAATCAAAACATTACAAATAACGAGACCATAAAATGCTAAGAATATTGGACTACTAGTCGCTCTTAATTTGAGTCGTGCTCTGTTAAATCTCACAGCAATAAAAAGAAGGAATAGAAGATTTGGAATTAAAATCATTACATCCCATATTCGTACTCTGAAAAATAAAAATTTCCACTTTAGTGTTTGGTACTCTTTTATGATCAACAAGTTTTCAATGTTCAAATGATTACAAAATAAAACTAAATAAATAAAAATAAATTTGAAGCCAAAATAAAATTTTCGTTTCGTTTTTTAAAAATATTTGCGGACTTCAACTTCATCTAAAAACGTCATTGATTCAAAAAGACTTTGTTCTAATTTTACAACTTTTTTTTGGTACGTGTAAATTTTTAATTTAAATTTAAATTTAAATTCTCACCTCGAATCTTGAATTTCTTTGTACAAGATCAATTTGCAAAAATGCTCCTCCTCATGAACTGTTGTACTTATATTTGGATCTGTTGTTGTACTCAATTCTCGTAATTGTCGCCATCCTTCCGACACTGATTCTAAACCCTCGCCGTACATTTTCCTTAATTTGGTGAATTTTAATCCATCTCACATTGATTATCTGAAATTGGTAAAAAAAAAATGCAGATAGAACCAAGTAATTGTATCTTTTTTCTCGTTTACTTTTATAACCATCTCATTTAAAAACCTCTTCCGATGAAAATTTCGAAACATAATTTTGCAATTAGAAGGGAAAACGTTTCGTTTTATGAGAAACTTTATTTCATTTCTAAAGTCATTTCTTTGAAAGCAAATAAAAGATTTTTTCCAAAAGTTTATTTCTGGGGGAAAAAAGTACTAGTAGTGTATAATTTATTGATGAATATTGTTTATTGTAAAATGAAAAATTAAATACAAAAAAAATGTTTAGAAAAAATTGTTTGGGAAAAATTATATTTTAATCAAATTATCTATTTTGTTGTAAAACTCAATTTTTTGGTTTTTCTAGAAAAAGTTTGTTTAAACTGAATAAATATTTATTTGATTCAAATAAATATTTAGTTCATGGTTTACAAATTTTTGAGTTCAAATGATCGAAGAATATATTTTTTTAATATTTTCAAAACCGATTGAAATAGTCAAATTACTATTTGAAATTATGCTGAAATTTTGAACGTTCAAATGGGACATTTTTTTCTATTTAAATATTTTCAAAAACATTTATAAACTCTATAATTATTTTTTTCATAGTGAAGCAAAATTATTGTAATAAAAATTCAATTTTAAGTATAAAAATAAATAAATTTCGTTCAATTGAACCTCAAGAACTTCAGGAATATTTTGGTTTAGTTTAATAAATTTTGTTATCCTAAAGTTTTGAACGTTGAAATGAACGAATTTTCTGTTTTAATTTTTTGAATGTTCAAAACTTTAGGGACATGATTGCAGTAAAAATAAAAAACTTAAATTTTACATTTTGAAAATTTGTAATTAATTTTTTTTCTATAGGGACGCAAAAATATTGTAATAAAAATTTTATTTTAAGTATAAATAAAAACATTTTATTCATTTAAATCTCAAGAATTTTAGGAATATTTTAATACTTAATACATTTTATTTTCATGAATGATTTGAACGTACGAATGAACGAAATTTTTTTTCTATTTATGTAAATCTTATCAAAAATTACTGGAATAAAATTAAAAATAGGACAAATTTAACATTTATAGAAAGAAATTAATTTTCTAAATTAATCAGTAAATATTTTTTTACAAAATTCAACTTTTAACGTAATTTTAAAAAAATCGTTGAATATCTGAAGATTTGAATTTTTAGGGACATTAAATTTTGCATTGGAAAAAGAATTTTGTTACCTAAAGCAAATATTTAGTTGAACTTAACAAATATTTTGTTAAACTTAACAAATATTTAGTTTGAAGCAAACAAATTTTTAAATGAAGCAAACAAATGTTTAGTTGGACCAAATAAATGGTTCAACTAAAATAAATTAGTTGATTTAACTAAAATTTAATTTTCCTTAAGTTCTGAACGTTCAATTTAACAAATTTTATTAATTTTTTTTACTAATTAAACATTTAGTTGAACCAAACAAATTTTTAGATGAACTTAACAAATATTTGGTTGAAACAAACAAATATTTAGTTAAGCCAAATAAATATTTGTTTCAGAAATGCTTATTTAGTTGATTCAACTAAAATTTAATGTTCATAAAGTTTAGTTAAAAAAAATTAAAAATTTAGTTGCTCCAAAAAAAAAAATTTTCGCTAAGTGGAAAATATTTCTAACAAAAAAATAAATATTTCACTACAAATCCTTATTTTGGAGAATTTTTTTTTAGTGAAAATAGATTCATGTTAAAAATTTCTCCATTAATTCGATTCAGATGATAAATCTTTATAATTCAATGAACAATAGGAGCATTTATATTTTATGAAACATTTTTCGATGTCGTAATCGTTGAATATTTGAAAGTCGAAACTATTCTTTGTTTCTACATTAAATTATATTGTTCTTAAAGATGGTAAAATTGGATTGGAACCTTATGTTCTAGATCTCGAGCAGAAAGATAAGTAAAGTGGGTATCTAGTTCAAATAAAAATAATCTTATACTATAAGATTGTAAAATTATTATGTATTTAAGTATTTTAATAAATGAAGGAAAAATTATTTCCTCATTGTTTAGTCGAATAGTAATCTTCCAATTAGTATTTTGCATAATATTTATTACTAGAGAATATATTCCATAGTAAAAACGGAGTACAATGTATTTATGCTCAAACATAACCTTAAACTCCATATAGTGACTCATAGGTTTTTCATAGTCAAACAAAGAATGTTTTGGAGCTATAAAAATAAAGTTTACAAATAAAATCAATTTTTATTCAAGGTTATTGGGCTTGATTGAAAAAAATATGTTACTCGTTTTGTGGAAAATTGAAACTTTAAAAAATCGATAGAAGAGAAAAGAGAACTGTCAATTTTTGGGTTACTCCGAAAATGAAAAATTTGTTTTTATTTTTTTGGAGTAAATTTTTTTAGAGATGTTTTCGTTTTTTTTCTTTGAAAATAGATGATGGAAAGAATAGACATTGTCTACTTACTTTTGTTGAAAAAAATCTTTGTTGTGCGTCATATACGCAGATGCACAATAAAAACTATTTTTCTCGTCACTCCGTTTATACTGTTCGTACATTTATATCACATCGCGTGAAATTTTATTGTTCATCATGTTTGAGAATGATTATTGGTAGTTTCATTCTCGTGGTTTTATTTCCCTCTTTTTGGAATTATAATAACGCCACATAAAATAACTCAATACTGTGTATTTCACTGCAATAACCAATAATCCAACTCGTAGTGCTTGTGATTGCATTCCCGAGAGTTTGACGTTTAATTTTCTATGCCTCTCAGTAGTAGGAAGGTCACAGAAAGTTGTGGGATTTCCTGGTCAGATGCCGCCACGAATCATGTTCCAGATTACAAAATAAAGCATCTGTGTTTATTTCTATATTGTGTATGTAAGTGGTAATGTCGAAATATTTATTTTCTACTTTCCTTTTCTTTATTCTGTTTATAAGCAAAAAAGATTTTAAAACAGTTAAAAATTTACTGCTAGGTTCAATAGTGGATGTCATGCGGAAAGAGCGGGAAAATTTCGTTTTGTTTTGACATTTTAAAGCCACGTGTTTTTTCTCATTGATTTTGCAGTTAAAATTTTTGTTTTCTTCACCAAGTTTTTCGTTTTTTGATTTCTGTACAAATTCTCTTTTTTTACCTAGAGTTTGTTTAAAATTTTGTGGAGGAAATATTTTTTATAGGTAAAATTTAAATTAGGGTGGAAAGTTTATTTATAAAAAGAGGAAAGTTTATTTATAAATCAGATATTTTTGTAATCCACATGGATTATCGGGAGAGTTTATTGAAAAATGTGCATGTAAATTTGCCATTACCTGAGTCAACAGGTGAAACATTTTTGGTGAGAGGTGATTATGAATATTGGCATTATGGATGTGATGGTTTTGACGATAAGGTATTGTTGGATTTTATTGTTTTAGATGTAAAATTTTCTATAAAGATTCTGATAATAATGTAGGGAAAAAATTTGGAGTAACTTTTACTATTTATTTTTGGAGTAAATCTTGCTAATTAGCATAAATTTCACTAATTTTTACAAAAATCTAATGAAATTTTCCTAATTTCGAAGTAAATTTTGCTAATTTTTATAAAAACCTTTTACGTGTAGCAACTTTTACTATTTTTAGAGTCAATTAAAATTAAATGAACTTTAAAAAGAAATTAAGTAAAATTTAGAATAGTTCTATGAAGAATATTAAATAAATTTTAATATAACTTCACTAGACTTCATAGTTTTAATCTAAACTTTATGTTTTTTTTAATACATCACTAAACTTTGCAAATCTGATATATTAATAATCGTGTTTGCTTTTTTGTATTTTAACTTTTTTTAATAATTTTTCTTTTTAAATATTTTTAATTTTTAATATGATCGAATTGTTGCAAAGAATTTTATCAAAAAATTTGATATTAATAGAATTCCTTCGAAGAATTTTATTATTAAGGAAAATAATTAAATTCTCGCGAAGAATTATGTTAAAATTTTCAAAAATTCTAATTAAATTTTTTTTGAAGAATTTCTTTGCATTTTTTTTAAATAATGGAGTTTCTTTCATAATTTTAATAAAAATTTTAAAAATAATTGGATTTTATGAACAATTTTTTTCAAGTTTTTAAAATAACAACTATATAACAACAATTTATTTACTATATTTATAAATGTAATTGAATTATTTTGAAGGATTTATTAAAATTTTAGAAAATAATTGAATTTTTTCGAAAAATATTATTAAAAATTAAAAAAAAAATTGAATTCTTTCATGAAATGTTATTAAAATTGTATTAAAAATAATTGAATTTTTGAAAAGAATTTTACAATTTATAAATAAAATTGAATTGTTTTGAATGATTTATTAAAATTTTGGAAAATAAATAATAATTGAATTCTTTTGAATATTATTGAATTTTTGCAAAGAATTGTACTATTTATAAATAAAATTGAATTGTTTTGAATGATGAATTAAAATTTTATAAAATAAATAATAATTGAATTTTTTTGAAGTATTTTATAACGAATTAAAAAAAAATGAATTCTTTCTTTAAATATTTTTGAAAATAATTGAATTCTTTTGAAATATTTTATAACGAATTAAGAAAAAAATTTAATTCTTTCATGAAATTTTCTTGAATATAATTGAATTTTTGCAAAGATTTTACTATTTAATAAAATAATTGAATTGTTTCGAAAAATTTATTAAAATTTTGTTTATTAATAATTGAATTTTTGGAAAAAATGTTACTATTTATAATAAAAATAATTGAATTCTTACGAAGAATGTCATTATTTACGAAAATTAATTGAATTCTTGTGAAGAAATTTATTAAATTTTTTGAAATTAATAAACAAGAATTATTATTAATTATTATTATTACTAATTGTTAAATTAGTTAATAATTGCATTTTTTTAAAGGTTGAATCTGAAATTATTCAAAAATTCATATTTGAAAATAAAAAATTTTGTAATTTGCATAATAATAATAAATTGAATATCACATTCCGCGCGTAAGATTTGCTGGTCTTAAATAAATGTTTAGGAAAGTTTCGGTGCTATATGGGAAAAATTACTTTATTCATTATGAACGTTAATCATATTGAAAAATAATTTTCATTTCGACAGGGCTGGGGATGTGGTTATAGAACATTACAAACAATATGCTCGTGGATGAGGATAAATAAAAATTTGGACCAATCAGTTCCTACTTTGAGATCAATTCAGGAAACTCTTGTCTCTCTCGAAGATAAGGAGCAAAATTTCATTGGTTCGAGAGATTGGATCGGAAGTATCGAAGTACGAAAAATTGTAGAAATTTTAGAGTATTAAAGAATAGTGGTAGTATTGTAGTACACTATTGATAATATTCTACTTATCATGTACCGATAATAATTTTTACAGGTTTGTTTGGTGTTAGATGAAGTTTACAAGGTGCTTAGTAAAATAATTCACGTGCCGTCTGGTAGACAATTGATTAATTATGTGAGTGCGCTGAGGGAACATTTCGAGCAGAAGGGATGTCCAATTATGATGGGTGGCGATCGTGATTGTTCGAGTAAAGGAATCGTGGGCATACATGTCGGGGAGAAGGACACCTATTTACTCGTTATTGATCCACATTTTGTGGGAAAAGCAAAATCTGTCGAGCAGCTGCACAACAATAATTGGATTGTGTGGCAAAATTTAAAGGATTTTGTCGAAAGTTCTTTTTACAATTTTTGCCTTCCACAAGTTAGCCTCTAAAACTTGTTGTAGTTTAATAGCACCTATAATAATTGAATAAATCGATGTTGCATTTTATTTTCTTGTCTGCATTTATCATTTCACGTATGTCATTCTTATAATTATTATATATGAACATTTTTGGATCTGTAATATGAACCTGAAACTGGTGTAAATAATGTTTCTTCTTCAGTTAGAAGAAGTTGAATTTTTATTGCTTATTTTATTGAATTAAAACAATCTTGAGTCGCAATTTTTTTTAGGTTGTATTTATCAGTCTGTATTCATTATTAGACAGACTCCTTGAAGCACCCAGTGCGATATGTGTTCGGTTGTTGCGAGATCTGCTTCGAAAACTAAACCCCTTCCCATTGCATTTCTTCGATTTGAAGTTGTGTACACTGGTGTTTTTATTGTATTCTAAAAGAGTTTATTCCAAATTTGATTAGTGAATAAATTAATTGAGTAAATAAATTTGTTCAGTAATTAGTAAAATTATAATAGTAATTAAGGCTCAGGATCTTAAAAAGGCACTTTTAGCATTGCTTTTAAATGGTAAAAGAGACCTTTTAAGATCCGGTGCCTCAATTAATTTTTAACCAAAAAAAAATAAAGAAGAAACTGTTAAAATTTACCTGGAGTTTCAATCTATGAGCCTCGATAGGAATTACTGTGAGTATCGGTAGTTCTTCGACGAGAATTTTAGGATGAGATCTCTTTAGGCAATGCTTCTTTGCATCCCATCGTGCACCTTCTAAATATAATCCTTGAACATAGCAACCCTGTAAATAGTTCGATTTAATTAGTTAAATAGTAATTCGCAATTAATCATTAGTTAATTAGTGTTTATGCTTAAAAATTATTATTGATTAGTGCACAAGAAAATATGTGCACTAGAAAAAAAATTAGTAATTGAACTATAAGGGCCAGAGCACACAATAGTAATAATAACAATAACCTGCTCGGGCTTCTCCTCAACTTCGTCAGAATTCAGATATTTCGAAACTGAAGTGTACATTAGAGAATGATCCAAGGGCCAATTGTTTCGTCGACATGCCATTTGAACCAGTGCTGCTAAATAGGTTTCCGGTATATGAAGACCCGAGAGCCAAATTACGACTGGCTCGTTGGCTCCAGCCTAAAAAATTATGATTTGTTTGGTAATTTTTAATTTCGTTGTTTTTTTTCAAAAATTTGGAATATGCTTCTTCTATTCTTATCAGAAAAGAAAAGAAAAAGATTGAAAAGAAAAAAAGATTTCTAGTATTTTTGCGAATTTACCCAGTTTGTATATTGTGCGATACGCTTTTCGAAGTGATCCATCCAACCTGCGAGATTTTTTTTCGTATCCGGTGATAATTTTGCCCACTCTTTTGGTAGTGTTCCATTGTAGAGGGAGTTTGAGATGTCATCAAGTACAGTGTCCATTCCTATTTCTCCAGCAATTGCCTGTAATTAATTATTCAATTTTACAATTATGTTATTACTATTATTATTGTGTTTGTTATTTTTATTATTACTATTAGATTGAGAGAAACGAATATTTGTCAAAACCATTTTTTCGAAGATAATTTTTTAATTTATAACCATTTTTTTTTTAATATAGTGGGAAACAAGTTATTTTTAAGAATAAAATTTCGTGCTCACCTTTCGCAGTTGAATTAAAGATGACGTCATTCTATTAATTAGAGCATTAAATCTTTCTAATTCTTGGAATAGAACAATCGCTGTGGGAGTTACGCCTAAACCAAAGTTTCTCTTTACTTTTATCATGTCATACGGTTCGGGAATTTTCGCTAAAACTTCTTGAGCCACATTGTCGATAAATTCGTCTCTACTGATTCCAGTCACGCTGATAGCTACAAAGAAATATTTTATTTATAATATGATAATAAAATATTAAGAAATAAAACTTTTCTTCTGCCGTCACTTACTTGCCTTGTCCAGAGAGACTAAAGCAAAAATTTTAATTGTTTTAGAGAAATTTTGGTAATAAATTTAAATTTTCTTTGAATGATAATTATTAGTTACTTAATTAATATAATTATTAAATAAACTGCAGGGGAAAGAAAATTTACCAGTTTGTGGCTGAAGTTCTATTAAATTCATCCACATTTCTTTAGTGGCTTGTGTGTAGTATCCAATTTCTGCATTCGGATGAAGACCAAAAACTTCTGGGGAATTTACAAGGGGTAATTTTTCGACAAATTCGATGTATGTGTCACGATCGCCTTCTGGCGGCAATACATAATCGACGTGATTGTCTTGATAAAAATGAAATGGTTGAAAGGTGTCGAAAAGAAAGTCACCGAAATATTCGTCCATGTATATTTTTGAAACACGTCTATCGAAGCTGTCAATTACTCGACCTCCGTACATCACCTTTAGAAAGGATTTTTTTTTATTATTTCTATATAATTATTCTCTAAATCTGAATTAGTGGTTTTAATTAAATTAAACATTTTATAAAAATTAATTAAAAAGTGTGAATTCGTTCACCAATTAAATAGGATTTGTATTAAAATTCAGATGTGGGGATTTTTTTACCTCTCCTATCAAATACTTGAGACTGTTCCAAGGAATTCTGGTTGAATCGATTGTCAATGCTTTTGATAAATATGTATCGAGAATTAATGTACAAACATTGAAATCAGATTCATTGAAATCGTAATTAATGTTCCATCCAATTTTGTCGTATTTTCTTCTTTCCTTTAAAAGAAGAGAAAAACATTTAATTTAATTTAATTTAATTTATTTAAATTAATATTTTTAAAAAAATATGAAATTTACTTGTACGACTGCATGATAGAATGCAAGAACGTAGACAAGATTTTTGTAAATTGGATGCGAACAAGAATCTAATACTTGTTCTCTCATTTTGAAGTATGTGTTTCGTAGATTTAATTTTAGTCCATTTGGAGGTTCAGTCACGACTGTAAATAGAGTTCTTTATTTATGACATTTATTAAAAAATTAAAAAATTAATTTTTTTATTTATGATATTTATTTATTTGACTCAAATGAATTGTATTTGGTTGAAATAAAAAATTTCTCCGGTAAATATTAATATCTTTAATAATTTTTTAACGACGATTCTTATTAACTAAGTAAAAATTTATTTTATTTCTTTTTACTTTAGTATTTTTTGAAAAATATTAGAAAAAATATTGTACGTTTTAAATTTTAGGGAAAACTAAAATCCGTAGGGAATAAATTTGTAAATGAACCTTTTAACGATTGTTGTAGAATGCCAATGGGAAATTCAGGTGTTTGTTCGGTCGTCAACCATAAACGAAAATCGGGATGTGGCTTTCCCATTGTGACCATTATTTTTTCCAATTTTCTCGTGAAACTCAACAAAAGATTGCAATTTTGCAACATTAGCCATTGACCTCTTGCTACTGCTGTTTCTAGTAAGTCCACGGCAGTCTGAAAGGGAAGAAATTATATTAACAAAAAATTTTTCTTATAATAATAATTATTATTATTGTTATTATTGGAATTAATATAATTTTTACTATTGTTGTATACACCCTAAAAAAAGTATATTTGACTCAAAATCTACTAAATTATTTATTTAAACGAATAAATAATTTAATACACTATTTGTTTAAATTAAAAAAACATTTATTTGATTTAAATTGGTTAAGTTTAATAAATTTTGCCTTTGATGAAAGAATTTGGTCATCTAAAGCATATTTTTAGTTGAACCCAACAAATGTTTAGTTTAAGCAAACAAATTTTTGGCCTTTGAAGAAGGAATTTGGTCATCTGAGGCAAATTTTTAGTTGAACCAAACAAATTATTGGTTACAACTTATTTGGTTGATTGAGACAAATTTATTTCTTTTTGAGTGTATGATTATCATTATTAATTAATAACCTTCTCTTGTCCTTGGCCCAAAGACAAATATCTAAACTTCCCCCCACCGCATCCATATCTTTCGGCAAGTTTCATCAGTTCGGATGTGGGATCCGAACCAAGACTCAAAATAAAAACAACGGGCATACTCGGTGTGCTTTGCTCGAAAATCATATCGAAACTGACATTTGGTGGCGTTATGTATTCTTCTCCCATTCGTTCGCTGATGTAATTCACCACTGCTCGATAGACTCGATCCACGCGAAAGCATCGTATCAATAATAATTTTTCAAAGCTCGATAGTTTCAGTGAATAATCGCAGGGCAATTCTTCTGACTCTGGAGCGTCCGAATCGTACCACTTGTGAGAGAATAATTAAATTTTTTTTTATTTAATTGGGTATAGGTATTTATTTTTTTTTTACTTTTTTTTAAAGAAAACTTAGAAAAATTGTACTTTTAATTTTAAGGTTAGAAAATTTTGTTAGTTATGTTGAAGAAAAAACTTTCTGCTTTTAGTAAACTTTGAAAAAATTTCAGTTGTTTGAAATTTATAAATGTGTAGTCTTATTAATTTTTTATTATTTCCAAAGTAAATTTTACTAATTCTAAAGTAAATTTTTTAAATTTTTATAAAGAAATGTTCTTCGGAAAGAGAAGAAATTATTCTAAAAATAATAATTTCTTATCCAAAAAAACACTGTGATTCCTGAAATTGTAATTTATATATTATTATGATTGTTTTAATTTTTTCGATAATAATTCTAATATAAAATATTTTTCTTTTTTTTCAGGTGAGTAAACAACATGTTTCCTGTCAAGTTTATTTCGTAAGTAAATATATATTGAAATAAATATGGTTTTTGAAACATAATTGAATTTTTATAAACAATTAAAAACTTTGGACAGAATGAAGGAATTTGGATTTTTGATTTTTTGATAATTTTCGATAATTTTCGATATTTTACCAAATGGTGGAGACTATTAAATAAGTAAAGTGTTTTTAAAGAGCCCAATAATAATGAAGCTATTGGCCATAAAAAGAAGAAAAAATGTTAATTTTAAAAATTGACCTTTCTTGAAATGTTTAAAAATATTCGTGGAAAGTTTGCTTGGGTAATTAATTTTATGTAGATACTGTTAATTTCTTTTTGTAGTTATCAGGGAAAAAGGAAACCCTGATACAGAAAAAAAATTTCGTTTGATGTAGTATTTGAAATTTTAGGTAAAGGAAGAAAATAAGGTTTAAATTATTAAATTTCGTTTTTTTGTTTCTTACTTTTTTCCACTCAATGTTTCGATCTTGCAATTGAATCGGAAGTTGGGCAAATTGATGAGGAAAATCATTAGACAATTTCAATACATCTTCCCATCCACTCGGCGACAACCATTTTGCAGGATTAATTTTTTGCGTCTTCTCAAGAGTGACGCTGCCTTTAATGAAAAATTCGAGCTCGGCTTGTTTTATCAAATCCACAGCTTGCTCAATACGTGTGCAAATTTGAAACGAAAAGAGCAATTTGTCCCTCTCAAATATTCCCGTACAACCGTACTCGTAGACATTTTTTGTCAAAGTTTCAATTATATTTTTCAATCGTCTCGACAAAATTTTGTCCTCTAGTGCTTTCTTCAGAGAATACGTGAAGACTTCCAAATAGCTGATCAAGGAATATTGATACATTGAATTAACAGTTGCCATGTCGGCGAGAACGAAGAATAATATTGCCCCCCTTTTAGCGGCTGGACGGTATTCGTCACGTAATTTATTAATATCAATTGTCGTTGTCTCGGCCAATTGCAGTTTCTCGATAACCTCATTGGCACTCGTTTTTGTATTCTCAAGTGTTTCGATTAATTCAATGTTGTCCAACATGTTTCCTTTGTTTGTCGCTATTTCACGGAGAAGACTGTCCTCGAGTGTTTTGAGGAGACTTTTATTTTTACTCGTCTCGAGAACTAAGGTTTCTCGTTGCTCTTCAATATCTGGACGTTCGGTTCTTACTACGACTGATAGTAGTTGATCTTCGAGTCCCTGATAGGAAGGAGAAAATTCGTTGTTAAAAAACTATATTTTTTAATCGAAAAAGTTTATTCGTTTGTCAATTTTTAGTTTGGGGTCGTTCTTAAAATAGGGAGTGTCATTTTTTGGAAATTTTGACCCTCTTTTCCCCCATGTAGAGGACGGTTGATTAATTTTCGTGGACTAATATTTTGTTGAATAATTTTTGCTTGGTTAATTTTTGTTTAACTAATTTTTGAATAATTAATTTGTGATTCATTAATTTTTGGTTGACTAATATTTTATTGATTAATTTTTGATTGGTTAATTTTTTGGTGAATAATTTTTGTTTAATTAATTTTTTATCGACTGATGTTTGGTTGACTAATTTTTGGTGGACTAATTTTTAGTAACTTTGTTTTTGATCGATTGTGAATTTTACTTACAAATGAAGTGACAGTGTAATTGACTACAGTCGCCTTGGCATAAACAGCAGGATTAAAATTAGGATTCGATAATTTTGTCGTTAAATATAGTCGAAATCGGGGATCGTAATCTACTTCCTTGTCGCCAATCATGATGAATATTCTACCAGCAATATCTGAAAATTTTGAAGGGAATTTATTTTCAAGAAATCTGGGTAAAATCTTCGTTTGGTAATGCAATGTCTGACTGAATTTATTTTTACTACTGAAACTGAAATTAAGATAATTTAGAAAAAAGTAATCTGATTAAAACTGTCTTTTCTTGTATTTATTAGAAAATTAAAATAAGTGAATTAATTTTTTTCAATGAGAGTGATTTATGACAAATAGTTGAAGTTATGTCTGACTAAAATTGACATATACTACTGTTTCAAAAATTGCCAGGTTCTAATGACAGAAATATTTACATTGAGTGTACAATTAATTTTTTTAATCACTGTAACAGTGTAAATAGTAATTTAAATAATTTTTGGTCACACGAAATATTGAAATTCTTGACAGTATGCAACTAAGTAGTACGAACCAATTCTAGTCAGACAAATAAATTAATTACTTCTAGTGATTTAATTATTTAAAGAATTTATTCAACAATTATAGTATCAGTAGTAAGGGTCTGTGTTAGTCAGACGAAATATTTAAATTATTAAAAGGGCATAACTAGTAGAATGAAGTAATTTAAGTCAGACAAATGCATTTCATTCTGGCAATTTTGCTAATGGATGTTAATTGATGTCTCATATGACTAAAATTATTTTTACTACTGACATTAAAATTAAATGAGTTTGTATAAATTTTGTCTGTGTGATACTTTCTTTTACTACTTAGTGAAATTTCAATAAAAGTAATGCGAAATTAGGAAAGATTGTATTAAAAAATACTGTCTGACAAAAGTTGACTTCTACTACTGTTTTTAATTACATAAATGGCTCGGTGAAACTAGCGACCTGCCGGCCGCCAGCCATCAGAAGAATCTATAGGCGCCGACACACATAGTAGCGCGGTGGCCCTATACGATTCAGCGCCCGTATCAGAAAAACGAAAATTGGAAAAAAAGTTCAACAAAAATTCATAACTTGAATAATTTTTGACCAATTTTTTGTTTCTTGGTCGCAAATTAAAGGGGGAGTAATGCTCTTTAAAATGTGACAATTGAAAATGTTCTTAATAAATTTTTGATAGCCAGCGTCCCCACCCGCCCGTATCAGAAAAACGAAAATTGGAGAAAAAATCGAAAAAATATTCATAACTTGAATTATTTTTGACCAATTTTTTGTTTCTTGGTCACAAATTAAAGGGAGAGTAATTCTCTTTAAAATGTGACAATTGAAAATGTTCTAAATAAATTTTTGATAGCCAGCGTCCCCACCCGCCCGTATCAGAAAAACGAAAATTGGTAAAAAAGTTCAACAAAAATTCATAACTTGAATAATTTTTGACCAATTTTTTGTTTCTTGGTCGCAAATTAAAGGGGGAGTAATGCTCTTTAAAATGTGACAATTGAAAATGTTCTTAATAAATTTTTGATAGCCAGCGTTCCCAACAGCCCGTATCAGAAAAACGAAAATTGGTAAAAAAGTTCAACAAAAATTCATAACTTGAACAATTTTTGAACAATTTTTTGTTTCTTGGTCGCAAATTAAAGGGGGAGTAATGCTCTTTAAAATGTGACAATTAAAAATGTTCTTAATAAATTTTTGATAGCCAGCGTTCCCAACAGCCCGTATCAGAAAAACGAAAATTGGAGAAAAAATCGAAAAAATATTCATAACTTGAATTATTTTTGACCAATTTTTTGTTTCTTGGTCGCAAATTAAAGGGGGAGTAATGCTCTTTAAAATGTGACAATTGAAAATGTTCTTAATAAATTTTTGATAGCCAGCGTTCCCACCCGCCCTTATCAGAAAAACGAAAATTGGTAAAAAAGTTCAACAAAAATTCATAACTTGAACAATTTTTGAACAATTTTTTGTTTCTTGGTCGCAAATTAAAGGGGGAGTAATGCTCTTTAAAATGTGACAATTAAAAATGTTCTTAATAAATTTTTGATAGCCAGCGTTCCCAACAGCCCGTATCAGAAAAACGAAAATTGGTAAAAAAGTTCAACAAAAATTCATAACTTGAATAATTTTTGACCAATTTTTTGTTTCTTGGTCGCAAACTAAAGGAAGAGTAATGCTCTTTAAAATGTGACAATTGAAAATGTTCTAAATAAATTTTTGATTGCCAGCGTCCCCACCCGCCCGTATCAGAAAAACGAAAATTGGTAAAAAAGTTCAACAAAAATTCATAACTTGAATAATTTTTGACCAATTTTTTGTTTCTTGGTCGCAAATTAAAGGGGGAGTAATTCTCTTTAAAATATGACAATTGAAAATGTTCTAAATAAATTTTTGATAGCCAGCGTCCCCACCCGCCCGTATCAGAAAAACGAAAATTGGTAAAAAAGTTCAACAAAAATTCATAACTTGAATAATTTTTGACCAATTTTTTGTTTCTTGGTCGCAAATTAAAGGGGGAGTAATGCTCTTTAAAATGTGACAATTGAAAATGTTCTTAATAAATTTTTGATAGCCAGCGTCCCCACCCGCCCCTATCAGAAAAACGAAAATTGGTAAAAAAAGTTCAACAAAAATTCATAACTTGAATAATTTTTGACCAATTTTTTGTTTCTTGGTCGCAAATTAAAGGGGGAGTAATTCTCTTTAAAATGTGACAATTGAAAATGTTCTAAATAAATTTTTGATAGCCAGCGTCCCCACCCGCCCGTATCAGAAAAACGAAAATTGGTAAAAAAGTTCAACAAAAATTCATAACTTGGATAATTTTTGACCAATTTTTTGTTTCTTGGTCGCAAAATAAAGGGGAAGTAATGCTCTTTAAAATGTGACAATTGAAAATGTTCTAAATAAATTTTTGATACCCAGCGTTCCCACCCGTCCGTATCAGAAAAACGAAAATTGGAGAAAAAATCGAAAAAATATTTATAACTTGAATTATTTTTGACCAATTTTTTGTTTCTTGGTCGCAAACTAAAGGAAGAGTAATGCTCTTTAAAATGTGACAATTGAAAATGTTCTAAATAAATTTTTGATTGCCAGCGTTCCCACCCGCCCGTATCAGAAAAACGAAAATTGGTAAAAAAGTTCAACAAACATTCATAACTTGAATAATTTTTGACCAATTTTTTGTTTCTTGGTCGCAAATTAAAGGGGGAGTAATTCTCTTTAAAATGTGACAATTGAAAATGTTCTAAATAAATTTTTGATAGCCAGCGTCCCCACCCGCCCGTATCAGAAAAACGAAAATTGGTAAAAAAGTTCAACAAACATTCATAACTTGAATAATTTTTGACCAATTTTTTGTTTCTTGGTCGCAAATTAAAGGGGGAGTAATTCTCTTTAAAATGTGACAATTGAAAATGTTCTAAATAAATTTTTGATAGCCAGCATCCCCACCCGCCCTTATCAGAAAAACGAAAATTGGAGAAAAAATCGAAAAAATATTCATAACTTGAATTATTTTTGACCAATTTTTTGTTTCTTGGTCACAAATTAAAGGGGGAGTAATTCTCTTTAAAATGTGACAATTGAAAATGTTCTAAATCAATTTTTTAAGCCAGCGTTCCCACCCGCCCTTATCAGAAAAACGAAAATTCGTAAAAAAGTTCAACAAAAATTCATAACTTGAATAATTTTTGACCAATTTTTTGTTTCTTGGTCGCAAATTAAAGGGGGAGTAATGCTCTTTAAAATGTGACAATTGAAAATGTTCTAAATAAATTTTTGATAGCCAGCGTTCCCACCCGCCCGTATCAGAAAAACGAAAATTGGAGAAAAAATCGAAAAAATATTCATAACTTGAATTATTTTTGACCAATTTTTTGTTTCTTGGTCACAAATTAAAGGGGGAGTAATGCTCTTTAAAATGTGACAATTGAAAATGTTCTAAATAAATTTTTGATAGCCAGCGTTCCCACCCGCCCTTATCAGAAAAACGAAAATTGGTAAAAAAGTTCAACAAAAATTCATAACTTGAATAATTTTTGACCAATTTTCTGTTTCTTGGTCGCAAATTAAAGGGGGAGTAATTCTCTTTAAAATGTGACAATTGAAAATGTTCTAAATAAATTTTTGATAGCCAGCGTCCCCACCCGCCCGTATCAGAAAAACGAAAATTGGTAAAAAAAGTTCAACAAAAATTCATAACTTGAATAATTTTTGACCAATTTTTTGTTTCTTGGTCGCAAATTAAAGGGGGAGTAATGCTCTTTAAAATGTGACAATTGAAAATGTTCTAAATAAATTTTTGATAGCCAGCGTTCCCACCCGCCCTTATCAGAAAAACGAAAATTGGTAAAAAAGTTCAACAAAAATTCATAACTTGAATAATTTTTGACCAATTTTTTGTTTCTTGGTCGCAAATTAAAGGGGGAGTAATGCTCTTTAAAATGTGACAATTGAAAATGTTCTAAATAAATTTTTGATAGCCAGCGTTCCCACCCGCCCGTATCAGAAAAACGAGAATTGGAGAAAAAATCGAAAAAATATTCATAACTTGAATTATTTTTGACCAATTTTTTGTTTCTTGGTCGCAAATTAAAGGAGGAGTAATGCTCTTTAAAATGTGACAATTGAAAATGTTCTTAATAAATTTTTGATAGCCAGCGTCCCCACCCGCCCGTATCAGAAAAACGAAAATTGGTAAAAAAGTTCAACAAAAATTCATAACTTGAATAATTTTTGACCAATTTTTTGTTTCTTGGTCGCAAATTAAAGGGGGAGTAATTCTCTTTAAAATATGACAATTGAAAATGTTCTAAATAAATTTTTGATAGCCAGCGTCCCCACCCGCCCGTATCAGAAAAACGAAAATTGGTAAAAAAGTTCAACAAAAATTCATAACTTGAATAATTTTTGACCAATTTTTTGTTTCTTGGTCGCAAATTAAAGGGGGAGTAATGCTCTTTAAAATGTGACAATTGAAAATGTTCTTAATTAATTTTTGATAGCCAGCGTCCCCACCCGCCCGTATCAGAAAAACGAAAATTGGTAAAAAAGTTCAACAAACATTCATAACTTGAATAATTTTTGACCAATTTTTTGTTTCTTGGTCGCAA